ACTGCAACTGAGGTATGTGTCCTTAGTGGGAACTGAACCCGGGTCTCTCTGGACCGCAGGCTGATGCTCTCTAACTGCTGAGCCAAACCAGCCAGGTCAATAGCAATAATTTTTTTTTAAAAAGGTAATTAAGCCCCACCACTGTGGCTCAGTGGTTGAGCATTGGCCCATGCACCAAGAGGTTGCCGGTTGATTTCCAGTCAGGGCACATGCCCAGGTTGTTGGTCTGATCCCCAGTGGGGAGCATGCAGGAGGCAGCCAATCTATGTTCTCTCTTAGCGATGTTTCTCTCTCTCTCTCCTTCTCCCTTCCTCTCTCTCTCTCTAATATCAATAAAGAAAAAATTAAAATAAAAAATAAGTAAAATGCAATTTTTAAAAAAGGCAAGCATTTAGAGAAATTGGAACCATCACGCATTGGTGGTGGTAGTGGGAAATGGTACAGCTACTGTGGCAAACAGTTTGGAAGTTCCTCAAAAACTGAAACACAGAATATGACCCAGAAATGCTAGTCCTTAGGTATATACCTAAAATAACTGAAAACAGAGACTCCAACTGATATTTATACACCAGTAAATCCACCAATACACCAATTGCAGCATTAGTCACAATAGCCAAAAGGTATCTGTTAACAGATGAATGGATAAACAAAGTGTGGTATAAACATACAATGGATTATTATTCAGAATATGTATGAACCTTGAAAATGTATGCTAAGTGAAATAAACCAGTTACAAAAGGACAAATACTGTATGATTCCACCTACGTGAGATACTTAGAATAGGCAAAGTCAGAAACAGAAAATAAATTAGAAGTTTCAAGAGGCCGGGGTAAGAGAGGAATGAGGAGTTATTGCTTAATGGGTACAGAGTTTCTGTTTGAGGTGATGAAAAAGTTTGGAAATAGTGGTGATGATTGTGCAACACTGTGAATATACTTAATGTGCCTAAGAAATGGTTAAATGGCAAGTTTTAAGTTACATCTATTTTACCATAATAAAGACAAATACAAAAAAAAAAAAGAGAAGGAATTGTGACAAATAAGGCTACACATGTCCTTGCGTGGAGGAAAGAGGACCAGAATCTGGATCCAGATGGGATTAAGGCATGTACATAGGGGCAGTTTGGACTTGGGGCCTATACTCTTTCACCATGATTGGTTTTTGGCAGGTAATTTACAAAACCTAAAGGATATATCAGAAAGTATAAAGTGAGGCCTGGCCAGGTAGCTCAGTTGGTTAGAGCATCATCCTGATACGCCAAGGTTTCAGGTTCAATGCCCAGTAGGGGCACATATAAGAATCAACCAATGAATGCATAAATAAGTGGAACAATAAATCGATCTCTCTCTCTCTCCCTTCCTCTTTCTAAAAATCAATAATAAAAAAAAAAAGGGTCACCACCTGTTCTCATGTTCCCTTCTAACCCTAAACACTCACCTGGGATACCTCTCAGTTTTGTGACTTTGGGCAAACCACTTCACTTTTATTGCTCTCAGTTTTCACCAATAAATTAACCCTTCTTCCTTCTTCTCAGGGTTGTCATAAAGACTAGATAAGATAAGCCAGGCAGCTGGTATTATTAACAATGCTAAATCTGAAAACACTGTTGTCTTTAATGAAAAAAATTAAACTGTCAGAGCTACAGAGCCCTGGCCCGTTTGGCTCAGCGGTTAGAGCACCAGCCCACAGACCAGTGAGGCCTGGGTTCGGTTCCCGCTAAGGGCACGTACCTTGGTTGCATTTTGTCCCCGGCCCGGGTTGGGGTTGTGTGGGTGGTGACCAATCGATGTGTCTCTCTCACATCAATGTTTCTCTCCCACGTTGATGTTTCTCTAAAGTTGATGTCTCTCTCTCTCTCTCTTCCTCTCTCTCCCTCCTGCTCTATCTCGATAAATGCAAAAAAAGTCCTTGGGTGAGGATAAAAAAAAATGGATAAATTGAACTTCATCAAAATGAAAAACTTGATCCATCAAAGCACATTATCAGGAAAATGAAAAGACAACCTTGAATATAGGATAAAATATTTGCAAATCACAGATCTGTGAAAGGGTTAATATGCAGAATATATAAGAAGTACAACTCAACAACAACAAAAACCCAATTTAAAAATGGTCAAAGGAGCCTAATAGACATTTTTCTAAAGATAACCAAGTGGCCACAGCCACATGAGAAGATGTTCAACATCACTAACCATTAGGGAAATGTGAAGCAAAACCACAATATGATACCATTTCACACCCATTAGGATGGCTACAATCAACAAAACAAAAAATAGCCCTGGCCGGTTTGGCTCAGCGGTTGGAGCGTCGGCCTGCGGTACAGAGAGACCCGGGTTCGGTTCCCGCTAAGGGCATGAACCTCGGTTGCAGTTTGTCCCCGGCCCTGGTTGGTCGTGCAGGTGGCAGCCACTCGATGTGTCCCTTCACGTCGATGTTTCTCTCTCTCTCTCTCTTCCTCTCTCTCCCTCCCACTCTACCTGAACAAAAAATGGAAAAATGTCCTCAGGTGAGGATAAAAAAAAAAAATAATAAGTGTTGACAAGGATGTGGAGAAGTTGGAATTCTTGTGCACTGCTTCTGGGAATGTAAAATGATGAAGCTGCTACAGAAATTACTACGGCAGTTTCTTAAAAAATTAAACATAGAGCCCTGGCCAGTTTGTTCAGTGGTTAGAGCATCAGCCCTCGGACCAGAGAAACCTGGGTATGGTTTCCACTAAGGGCACAGTTCCCGCTAAGGGCACTACCTCGGTTGTGGTTTGTCCCCGGCCCCGGTTGGGGTTGTGTGGGTGGCAGCCAGTTGATGTTTCTCTCTTCTTCCCTCTCTCCCTCATGCTCTATCTGAAGACAAATGCAAAAATGTCCTCAGGTGAGGATTAAAAAAAAAATTAAACACAGAATTACTATGTGATCCCCAAATTCCACTTCTGGGTATATAGTCAAAGGAATTAAAAATAGGGACGCAAACAGATATTTATACATTCATACTAACAACAGTCAAAAGCTAGGAACAACCCAAAATTAATGGATAAACACAATGTGGTATATACAGTTGACCCTTGAAGAACACTGGTTTGAACCACACAGGTCCACTTTTTTGCACCCTCGATTCAGCCAACCTCAGATTGAAAACCGTATTTTGATCCAAAGTTGAGAATCATATATGTGGAGGGCTGACTTAAAATATACACAGATTTTTGACTGGAGGAGAGTCAGGCGCCCCAACCCCCACTCTGAATTGTTCAAGGGTCAATTGTACATACAATGAAATATTGTTCAGCCTTAAAAAGGAATAAAATTCTGACACATGGTACAAATGGAGAACTTTGAAGATGTTATGCTGAGTAAAGTCAGTCAGAGAAGGACAAATACTATATGATTCTACTTACATGAGAGACCTAAAGTAGCCAAATGCATAGAGAGAAAGTAGAATGGTGGTTGCCAGGGGTTGGGGTAGCAGGGAAATGGGGAGTTAGTGCTTGAAAAGTACAGAGTTTCCATTGGGATGATAAAAAATATTCTGAAAAGAGTGGTATAGTTACCTACCATTGTGAATGTACTTAATATCATTGAACTGTACACTTCAAATGGTAAATTTTATGTATATTCTTACCACAGTAAAAGAAAAAATCTGGCCATATTTTCAGCCCACTGAGAGTTCCTCTTTAAGGCCAGTTCTCCTGATGGCCTCGGGCATCCCTCCCAGGCTAGGGGCCCTAAGGACGTGAATGCCATCTTGTCCTTTGTATTGACCTCAAACCAGAACCAATAATCTGGGCCCTTACCCCATGCCAGCAAAACAGATTGAAAGGCTGTTGAAAGGCTGAAGCCTGAGCTTTCCCTAAGCCAGGTGGTTTGTGGGGATAACTATTTGGTGCTGACAAGTTGCCAACAAAAGCAGAAGCCAATCTGCCAAGCTTCCATTATTACTTCCCCCTTTCGTTTTCCCACAGAACCCCAGCTGGCCATACTGAAAGTAAACAGGGTCCAGACTGACCAGCCTGATTGTTGTTTTAAGTTGGAAAGTGGAGTGCCTGCTTCCCCCATCCCTCACCGATCTAGATATTTAATGTCCTTTGTATTTTGAGTTGACGACGGTTTCCATCCATCCAACAAGAACAGAACCAACAACCTCCACCCCTCTGTAGTCTCCAGGGCCGTTTCATACAGCTTATCCTGTTAGATCTCAAAACCTGGCGAGAATGAACGTGTAGGGGTTGTCATCCCCTACTCCAGACATGAAGAAACCGGGGCTCACAGAGATGAAGCCATTTGTCCCCAGTCCCACAGCAGCCCTAAGTGAAAGGGCCAGGGTTTGCACGTAGGCAGTGAACTTCAGCGTTCTCCTTCCTCTTGAATACTTCGGAAAGATAAAGTAGAAATGGAATCGGACTATTCTGGTGTCAAACAAGAGCAAAGAAAAATGCTTGCAAGTATGGCAACTAACAGGCTTAGGTGGTTCATCCCAGAGAATTAGGCTGGGAAAGAACTAAGCGCCGTGCTCTTTCCCTGAGGTCCACCCTGACCTAGATATGGGCCTTTGTTTTTGGATTCTTGTACTCAACTATTTCAGCTGGGCGCCTAGAGAAGGGTCTGCCAGACAGACTCGTGGCATTCATTTCACCAGGGTTCCAGGTGGAAGGCCGGGTAGGTCATGGGGAAACGGAAGATGATGCGCATTACGATGCGAACCAATCACGCCTGAACCAGAGAGCATCTGAAACGGTACGTGGCTCTGAAGACCCACGAGGGAAACATCCAGCAGGTCAAACGGTCTACTGCGTCCTGACCGCTGACCGCTGACCGGCCGCCCACCCGGAGTCCGGCTCCCCCTAGCACCAGACTTGGTGGGCGGACGCCGACTTCTCACGCATGCTCCAACCGCGCGCGCATGCGCGTCCTCCACAACAGCCTTTTCCTAGTAGCCCCCTGCCCTATCATCCCTGTCCCGGATACGGACACTTGGCTGCCTCAGCTACAGCCCTCACCCCGCATTCCTCACCTTGCGCCCTGTTTTCTCCCGTAGGGCCTTCAGCCGTTCCTTTCGCCGCAATGCTTCTTCCTCTAGCCGTCCCACACCGGCCGCAGTAGCAGCCATCTTGCCCTCCGACCCCTCCCCTTCTTCGCTCATCTTACACCGCGCAGGCCCAATGCGTAGATGACTCTTACAGCCAATCCAGGGACCAAAATGAGAGAGCAGGAAGTCCTGGGAGCCAACCAACGCTGAGTTGATATAGGAGGGCCCGCCCTTTTCTACGCTTTAACTTGCCTAGCGGGTAGGCAAAGCTCTAAGGCTTGATGCCTCCAACGCCAATCTGTGAGAAACCAGCAAGTGCAATCAGACCTGAGTGAAGGAGGCTAGAGCGCGTCGATCGCTGTGGCTTTACTGTCCACGGCTCACTCCATGCTGGCCACTTGAAATGCGCTGACTCAACTTTTTCCCACTTATTCTGATTTTTCAAGGCTCAAATGTCTTCGAGAAGCCTTCTGACTCGCCACTCGGACCCCAGCCTAATTAGAGGTCTACCTCTCCCTTCATGTCCAGCTATCAGTGGCTTCTTGGATGTCTCCGGGCCCCTAGGCCATTCTGTGTTCATTAAGCTCAAATAAAGCCTGAGCAGTGCAGGGCTTGCCTGGGTAGCCATTTCCCTTTGGGCTCATGAATGATCCCCTCCCAACATCAATACCCCTGGAGTGGCAATGTATCCAGGGTCAGACTACCTAACCTGGAGAAGAGCAGTCCCCAACCTGGGCCCAGGGGGCCCAAGGAACCCCTTAAGCTTAGTTACTGAGAACTAAGCTCAGAGTTGGTTTGGCCTCGACTGTATCATGTGGCCACCAGGTACACTGCTCCCTAGTAGGAACTGCCAGGGTCATCTTTCCTGCATTAACCAGTATGTCCTGACAACCAAAAGACCCCTTTGGCTGAAGTCAAGATCTTCTGATAGCATGTTGGGGTTCCCAAGGCTCCCTCGCCTCCCACCTGGGGTGACAAAGGCCCCTTTGCCACAGACCCACATCTTTCTCCCCCAAACGACCTTCTTGACCTCCATAACCTGTGCCTTTTGGTACCCTATCCCCTACATCAGGTGGGGTGCCCTGCTAGGGCCTGGTATGCAGGTAGCAGATACTCTGGAAATAGTTCAGTGGTGGATGGATAGCGCAGGAGAAAAGCCCAGAGTGGAAGCGCTGCCTAAGAAACCAGGACAGAACAGAATGAGGATGGGGAACAGAGTCTGTCTTCCCAAGGTCTAGGGGGCTCCAGACTAGTCAAGTGTACAACTGGTCGATTCCTACAACTTCTCTGGGCCCCACAAGCTTCCCCCAAGTCCCAGTAAAAGGCCTGACCCCCTCCTCAACACCAGGGGGCCCCCTTCACCTCCCAGGCGGGCTGGAAAGGTTGATCAAGAGAAAGAAGCCTACCCCCCAGGTATGGCTCAATGGATTGAGAATCCTCCCATGGACTGAGAAGTTCTGGTTTGATTCCTGGTCAAGGCACATGCCCGGGTCGTGGGCTCCATCCCCCGTAGGGGGCGTGCAGGAGGCAACCCACTGATGTTTCTATCTCTCCCTTCCTCTCTCTCTCAATCAATTAAAATTAAAAAAAAAAAACTCAAGAGAAAGAAGCCTAAGGGTGATGGTGGCAGTGGCCCAGCAATGAGTCAGTCAGGCCTCTGTCCCTGTCCACGTTGTCCCTGGCTGCCCAGGTAGTTCTAACTTGGCCCATCTGAGCCTCAGTTTTTTCTGTAAAACAAATGCATTAGGCATCCTCTTGCCTTTAATCTCTTAAAGAAAACAAAAATGTGACGCAAGTGCCAAACCCTGTAGTGGACGGTGCCTTTATAACATCTAGGAAAGCTTCCTGGAGGAGAGGACCCTCGAGATTGGTTAACTCTCCCAGAGATCTGCCCGTCTGATGGAGGACACTGCTCCTCCAAGAGGTTATTTCAGACTTGTTCTGCTGCTCTCTGATCCCCATCCTGTTCTACAAACCGTAGATGCAAAAAAGTTGCACTTCAGTCTTCTTATAAAACGCTTAGACCAGCACCTGGCACGTGGTAAGCGCTACAGGTAGTCATGATTATTGTTATCATTACTTGTTGAAGAACACTGGACACTGCCCACGGCCCGCAGCTCCTTTCCCCCATCCCACAAGCCTATCTCGTGCTCAAATGTCTTTCCCTTACACAAATGGTGGCAATTCCAGCCAGGCGGGCTGCATCCCCCGAGCTCATCTAGACCCAGGGCAAGTGTGGAATCCCTGACCCCGGCATTCGTCGGGGCTCAGGTTGGTCCTTTGGAAAGCATTGGTAAGAGCGCAGACTGCGGAGGGCGGGGCTGTGGGGCGCCCTCCGGGGGCCGCCCTGACCTCAGGCTCCTCCTCCCGTCCGGCTCCCCGCCCTTTGCACGGTCCCAGGAGAGGCGGGGCGGCGGTGGCCGCAGCTAAGTGCAGGAAGCCGGGCGGCGGCCGGCGGCCGGCGGGGAGGAGGAGCGTGCGGATTTGAGTGGCTCATCGCTGCGGGGGCCAGTACTACTTACCCCACTAGTACCGCGCCGCTCCGCCCCGGAGTGACGCCCTCTGCCCATGGGCCTGGCCGAGGGCAACCGGCGGGCGGCGCGGAGGAGGAGGCAGCGGCAGGTGGCGCGCAGCAGCAGGGCCGGAGCCGGGCCGGGCCATGGCCATGGCCGCCTCGGAGCGGCTCTACGAGTTGTGGGTGCTGTACTACACGCAGGTGAGGCCGCCCTGCCCCGCGCCCGCCGTGCCCCCAGCTCCGCGCGCCCCGCGCCTGCTGCACCTGCGACCCCGCGCCACCGGGGCCGCGTAGATGCGCGCGCGCCGGGCGTGCTCGGGCTCCGCGCACACGTGTGCGACCCCTGCCCGCCGGTGCCTCTGGCCCTTACACCTGGGGGACTACTCTCGCCGGTGCGCACCTAACAAGAGCCTCTTGGGTGGGGACCGCGCAGCCTCAGTCGTGCCGGAGGAAAAGGGCTTGGACCAAGACGGCCCGGCACTTTCCCCTTTAACAAATGGGGAAACTGAGGCCCGGAAACAAAGTGAAAGGTTGGCAGGGTCAGGAGGAGCGGAGAGGTTTAGTTTGCATTTTGTCTTGCACCGTTCCGTGGGTGTGCCCTCCCGCCCCTTTGGGTGGTCACGGCCTTAGGATCTAAGTGATCTGGGGTTATACAGCGGGAGGCGTCCCTACTGTGGGTCCTAGACACCATCCCTTCCCCAGAGAATCCGCAGTGATGAGCTCCTCCCTGACCCCAGGCCACCTTACCCCACCCCCAGGGGCTGGACCCCGGGTCCAGGCAGAAGAAAAGATTTGCCTTAGATGCAGAACCTGGTGGTAGGGGAGTGAGCTGGGAGGGATGTTTGAAAGGGGTGGAGGGACGCTTTTTCCTCCTGAGCTCCCCATCTTGTCTCAGAAGCTACCTCAAATGGCTTCAGAAGGTGAAGGCAGTGACTGACCCAGGTGTCTGTCGGAGCTGAGAAACTGGTGTCCCCCAAACTCTATGTCTCATGCACATAGGCCCCCACTTTCCTTCTGCATCCACAGCAGGGAGGAATCCCAGGATAATGCCCCCCTTCCCTTCACCCAGCACCAGCCTCCCTCCCTGCACCTGCTTGGCATCTTGCTCCTGGCTCAGGTGCACCCTGGGCACAATGGACTATTGTGTGCCCCTGATCTCGTCACTGGGGGGAAGTTCATGCTCGGATCAGCTGGCCCTCTGTGAAGAAGCTGTCCAACTGTCTCCCAGGACTACAGCCTGGGTTTGGGGCCCCAGGGACCTGGAATCCAGGCCATAGGGGCCACAGTTTCTTGAGTCCACTCAGGTGGGGAGAGGTCCAGGCCCCTGGCAGGAGGCAGTGTATGGAACAGAGTCCTTTGGTGTGACCCAAGGCATGCTCTTTACACCTCTGAGCTTCCCTATCTGTAAATTTGGCATAGCTCTGATCTCAGGAGTGGCCTGTACTCTGCAGAGAGGTAGCCAGTATGACTGGTCCAGGCCAGAGAAGGCTCCTGCTTCCCTGGCCCCATTGGATTCCCACACCCCAGCTTGTCTACATCTCCAAGGGTTGGCCTTTGTGAAGAAGCAAAAGACCCACAAGACCTGCCCCTGGCCCTCACGCCTCTGATTGCCCTGTGGCCATTGGCATGTTCTTGGTCCTCAGTTTCTCCTCCTGTGACCAGATGATGAGTCTGAAGGATATTAATGATGGCTCTTCTGGTTGGGTGGTATACTGCTGGAGGAGGTGCCTCCTGTTACCCCTTCTAGATGAGTTCTGCAAATGGTCAGCCCTCCTATTCCCTCCTGAGGTGTTCAGCACTTATCTATGCTGATTCTCCCCCACCCCCAGCTCCTCACCTCACAGGCAGGTATGGGGCTAGCTGGTTGTAGCTTTGGATGCCTAGATAGGCAAGGGGCAGCCTGGGGCCTGGCAAACAAATCCAGGATGTGAGTGTGAGCTGGGAGCCAGGCGGGGCCAGGCTGCTGGGGAGAGGAAGCTCTGCACTGCCTTCCTGCCCACTTGGTGTTGCTACTGCTCCCGGAACACTGTCCCCACCCCTCTGTGCTGGCTCCCAGTAGTGGTGGCTATGCTACTTGGAGCCCTGCTGGGGACCAAGTATGTGTGTGTTTGGGGGAAGGGGGTAAGATAAGGTAAAGGGTATTAAGGGACCCCTGAGTTGGCCAACCACCCAGCCAGAAGGCTCCCCCAACACCTGTACCCCTCCCTTCAGCAGTGAGAGCTGACATCAGCTGGCAAACCTGTTTCCCCAGTTGTGGGTCTTGGCCTGCCCTGGGAGCAACCCCCTTTCTGCCCTTCCTTTCCCCTCACAGATCCCAGGTTCAGACCTACCCACCCCCTACCTCTGTGGGCCCTGCTCAGCTGGGTCACCAGTGGGGAAAGAGGCTGTGGGCGTCTCCTGAGGGAGGGCCACATCATTCAGTCTGAGTACCTCAGGGCCCTAGTAGGGAAACCAAGGCAGGGTCATACCAAGGTCATCAAACAAGCTTGGGGCAGAGTCCAGCAGAGCTGAGGCCCTGTCTCCATCCTGTGTTCCTTTACCCAGGAAAGGTCTAGTCCTATGGGCAGAAAACCTCACATGGGTCTGCACAAGCTGTTTTCTCCTGGAACCTTCCGCCCCCTTTCCCCAAACCAAGCTGGACCTCAGCCCAGGGTGTCCCCATTTAACCC